TTCTTCACTATACATTGTATGTTTGAGATTCTACCTTGTTTCATATAGATCGAGTTCGCTCGTTTGAACTTTTACAGCTTTCTGTGTGTGAATACACCCCCATTTACTTCTAGTACTGGTTTTATACAGTTGTTTTTACTAATGGCAGTGCTGCAATGAACATTCTAGAGCATGGCTACTTTTGCACTATGCAGGAGTTCCGTAGGCATATGTCTAGAAGTGGAATGGCTGATTTGAAGGGTGGTTTCTAATGTAGTGCAAAATTTCTCTCCAACTTATTTATACCAACTGTACTTGCACCAGCAGAACTTAAGAGTTCCTGTATCACAGCACCCTGGCCAGTTAAATTTTTGCCAATCTGTTGAGTGAATTGGTATCTTGTATTGTCCTGATTACTAGTGAGGTTGAAGATTCTTCCATATTAACATTTTGTGATATTTGCTTCAAGTTCATGTTATTTTTCTGTAAAGTACCTGTTTATGTTTGTCATTTTTTTCTGTAGGACTATTTTCTTTCTATGTCCTGGATAGTAATTCTGTATTATATACACTGCAAATATTTTCTCCCAGTCTGGGTGTTGTCTGTAAATTTTGTGTCTTTGATTGCACAGAAGTTTTACATTTTAGTGTAGTGAAGTGTAGCAGTATTCACCTATATGGGTTATGGTTTGTGAGTTTTGTTTAATAGCCTTTCCCTGCCTCATGATCATGTGGATATTCTGCATTTTTTCCCTCAAACTTTTGCTTTCAAATTTAGGTCTATAAACTATCTGGAAATAATTTTGTGGTATGGTGTGAGATAGGACTCAGTTTATTTTTCTTTATATGCACAGACAATTAATCTTAGAATGTTTATTGACCTTTTGTCCCCATAGATTAGTAATCCCACCTTATATTCCAAATTTGACATGTACAAGTGTCAATATTATGTTTATATATATATTCAGTTTCGTACTTCATCTTGTATATAGATTTCAGTATCTGCCTCTTTCCTTAGCTATATTTCATACACATTTCCCCATTCCAAACTTGAGTAGTGGCTATATAATAGTCTGTTGATATAAGATAATTTGTTTGCTCATTTCCCTATTGCCACATGTTTAACTTTCACTATAATAAACAGTATGTGATGAATGTGACTTAGAATGCTGTTGTACTGGTAAAGTAGGGCTGTGCACCCCAGGTGCACTTGTCTCTCCAGTAGATCTCAGTCCCTTCCCTTCTCTATGGAGAGTCCCCCCTTCATGAGTTGACACCTCTCAAGTTATTTCTCAACAAGCGAGTGTTGTTGTGATGGTCATGGAGATGCGTCAACTAGATCTTCCTTCAAGGAGGGACTGATTGTCTCAGCTGGAGGCAGTGCTGTTCTCAGACAGCCATCAGCTTTCAGCCCCTCCAGAGATTGCCTCAGGTGTTGGGAGTACTTCACCCAAGTTCACACATCCTTCCCAAGATGGGCCATATCCAATGGCTAGTTGAGGCAGAGATATAAAGGCCCAGCCATTTCAGCCCAACATGAGAGGCTGTCATAGGCTCACATCAAAGTTAAACTTCTCCCTCTGTCCAAACCCGCTTCCTTCTTATCCCTTTCCCAGGTGTTGATCCCTAATAAACATGCTGTGCACTAAATTCTATCTCCAAATCTACTTCCCAGTGAACCAAACTGTGACAGTTGTCTTCTTTGCTTAGAATCAGGAATAAACCCAGAGCCTCTCACTGCCTACATAGATTATATGCAGGCCAGGATGACTCGGGGGAAGAGGGAAGTGCTCTTAATAGAGACAGATCTCTTGACTCCCAGAAATGTGCCCTATCCCTAATTCTTAGGGAAATGCAAATCAAAACTCCAATGAGATATCACCTCACACCCATGGGTACTATTAAAAAGACAATAAATAACAAGGGTTGGAGAGGATGTGGAGAGGAGGAAACCCTCGTACACTGCTGGTGGGAATGCAAACTGGTGCAGCCACTATGGAAAACAGCATGGAGATTCCTCAAAAAACTAAAAATAGAACTACCATATGATCCAGCTATTCTGCTTCTGAGTATTTACCCAAAGAATATGAAAACAGTAATTCAAAAAGATACATGCACCCCTGAGTTCATTGTAGCATTATTCACAATAGCCAAGACTTGGAAACAACCTAAGTGCCCATTAACTGATAAATAGATAAAGAAGATGTGGGATATATATACAATGGAATACTACTCAGCCACAGAAAAGATGAAATTGTGCCATTTGTGACAACATGGATGGGACCTTGAGGGTATTATGCTAAGTGAAATAAGTCAGAGAGAGAAAGACAAATACCGTATGATTTCACTCATATGCGGAAGATAAGCAAACAAACAAACACATAGATATGAAGAACAGATTGGTGGTCACCAGAGGGTAAGGGGGTGAGAGGAGGGTGAAAGGGTAAAGGGGCACATATGTATGGTGACAGGTGGAAACTGGACTTCTGGTGGTGACCATGATGCAGTCTATACAGAAGCCAAAATACGGTGTACACCTGAAATTACACAATGTTATAAACTAATGTGACCTTAATAAAATAATAGAAGGGAAGGGAGGGAGGGAGGAAGGAAGGAAAAGAAAAGAAGGAAATGTGCCAAATGGAGTTGGAGAATCCAACAAGTCTTAGAGGAATTCCACTTGAACTCTGAATATGGAAAGAAACCGGGGTCAGCGTGGGAGGGGAGGGACAGTAGACTCTTAAACGTTTCCAATATATTCAAAATGTATTTTGGAAACTAAGCTTCTTTGAATTAGATGCATAATAAAGTTTATTTTCCATTATGAACGTAATACATGTTTATAGTAGAAAATTTAGAAGAGAAGGAAGAAGAAAAACATCCAATTATCAAAGTCTCTTTTATATGCAATGTTTATTTTGAATTTGATTGTTTTACTTTGTTATAAATCACACCATTTATATAATTTTGTTATAGCACATTTTTCACTTAATGTTATAAAAAGCTTTTTTTCCCTGCTATTGTATCTTGTTGTAAACATTTTTTTAATGGCTACATTATAACCAAGGAATGAACTACGGTTTATTTAACTATAATATCAACTATTTGGTCTGTTTATAGTCTTTTGCTATTATAAATGACACTGCAAATAAATCTTTGTGTAAGTTTTCTTTCTATATTTAATATTATTTCTTGGGGATAGTTTCCCGGAAGTGGAATGACTAGATCAAGGGGTTTGAACATAAGCTTTTGATTCATGTTGCTAGGTTGCTTTCCTGAAAGCTAATTCTGGTTTCCGTGCTCACTTTTTGATATGAAATAATGAACAGCTTGTGTAATTTTTTTACCTGTATCGGTGGCCAGAGACCAGGTGAAGAGACTGGAGCAAAGCTTCTCTAGTTGGGGGGTCCTTTCCAAATGGACATGGTTCGGCCTTCATCACCTCCCCTCTTTCAATTTCCACACTCAGCATCTCTCATCTGGAATACAAGTGGAGCAGGGACCATTACTCATTTGCTTATCCTGTACGGAGATTTGAATAACCTCTTACTAGAGAGTGTCCTTGTCTGTTATGGTTGCAGGTCCCTGTAGGTAAATGTGTGACTGGGTGGTGCTAACTCAACCGTCAGTGACCAGACTAGGAAATCTAGAGGGAAAGACCTCTAAATTCAAGATTACTGTTTTGAAGTTTGGGGTCTGGTACCACTTCAAAAATTAAAGATCTACTATTTACAGGAATTCAATATTTAATATTCTAAAAATGATTCAATTCTAACTTCCAAATGAGTTTAAAATTTAAAGTTAAATACAGACTTTTTCTCTGAGGCTGTGGTTTTCAAGGGTAGCAAGACTCATCAAGAAATTTTACTTTAGGGGGGCCGGCCCATGGCTGAGTGGTTAAGTTCGCGTGCTCCACTACGGTGGCCCAGGGTTTTGCCAGTTCAGATCCTGGGCGTGGACATGGCACTGTTCATCAGGCCATGTTGAGGCAGTGTCCCACATAGCATAACTAGAAGGACCTACAACTAGAATATACAACTATGTACTGGGGAGCTTTGGGGAGAAGAAAAAACAAGAATATTGGCAACAGACATTTGCTTAGGTGCCAATCTTTAAAAAAAAAAAAAAGAAATTTTACTTTAGCCATGCCTTGGTGAGAGGTTCTGAATAAACATCCAGATCTTGATTACTGTCCTCATTTCCCACAAATATACCAAAGCAGCTTTGTCTTTCTTCTGTCATTGAGATAAGACATTTGATTTGCCTCCTCATTCTTCACCCAAATTCATTTCACAAGATGGACTGATTTTCAGGTACCATAAACACCCAGTTCTACTGGGTTTTCTTGGACTGCCAGAGACACTATGGTCCATATATGAGTCACACACTTTTTTTTTAATTAAAGTATAGTTGGCATGCAATATTGTATCATTTCAGGTGTACAACAGTGATTTGACATTTCTGTGCATTACAAAATGATCACCACAAGAAGTCTAGTAACCATGTGTCGCCATACAAAGTTATTACAAGATGATTGACTAAATTCCCTATGCTGTACGTTACATCCCTGTGATTTATTTTATAACTGGAAGTTCATACCTCTTAATCCCCTTCACCTATTTTACTCATCCCCCAGCTCCCTCCCCTCTGGCCACCACCAGTTTGTTCTTTGTATCTATGAGTCACACACATTTTACTGCATCTTCCCTGGCATGAGATTCGTATACATTGGCGTCTCCTCAGAGTGAAGTTGGCGTTCTCTCTGTCCGAGTCCAGAGTTTCAGTTGGCACGTGGTGATCCAAAACAGTTTGAGGCTTCTTTTGATTGACTCTGGCAATCTCAACCCAGCCAGGTTCACTCTGAGAGATGCCGTCCCTTCATGAATGGCCATAGAAGCTTTCCCTCTTGGCTCTGCGTTCTAATAGCCCCTCTTGCATGGACTATGGCAAAGCAATGCTTCGAAATATTCGTTCATATCATGTGGCTTTTCTTCCTGCAGTTTCTGTTCTTTTTTATTGTAGGATCTGGAGAGTCACCGCTAGAAGACGATGAAGTCGGGTATTCACACACTAGATATGAAGGTGAATGCTTTGCTTATGTGCTAATGAGGACCTGCTGATGCCAGGAGAACTTTCCTTTTTGCCCTGCAGAGCAGACTATAATAAAGTGACCAGACAATGCATTTAAGTTCTATTATCTCTCCAGAAAAAAATTAAAAATTAATATGCGTATGCTCCCATTAAGAAAAAATAAAGAACAATGAAAGAAAGAAAACAAAAAGCATCTGGAAATCCCTGAAGTGCTGTCCTTTAGCACCCCAGTGGTCATTTTATTCTCATAAGTTTCTTGACTGTCCTTACTTCTGCATAGCCAAGCTCTAGCTGATGAAAGTGAAAATCAAGCCATGAGTTCTGCCTGATTCATACATTACAGCCAGAATCGTCCAGAGTCAACTACCCAAGGTCAGATCTGGACCCAGTGCTGCTAATGTAGTGAGATGAATGGGGAATGAGAAAACTTGATTTTCATAAGCTCATTTCATTATGCTCTTTCTGAGTCTAGCTTGGCTCCTGAAATAATGAGTAAACTGTGTTGCCAAATGAAACTTTAATCTAATGGTAAAGAACTTCATCTCTACACATTTCCAGCAACCCATCCCCCCAGCAGGTATAAAAAGCCTAATCAAGGACCTTCTATTCAGGCTCAGGTAAGTATGTCCACAAATATTTCTACTGGGAAGGCATTTTTCTGAAGCTTAGGAAGCCCTGGGAAAAGTGAAGGTAAATTTAGATTATTTCTCTCCGAATCTGGTTCCTTTTACAGTGAAGGAATAATCTTTATAAAAATGGTTAATAAAGGTTCATTGTGGCACTTTGCCCAGTAAATTTGCCCGCATTCTGTCAAGACGACGCTGCCTTGCTCTGTTGTGATACATCGAAGTTCTAGGAGAATCAGGGAGTACTGGTCAGCCTTTGGTTGGACAGAGTCTTTCAGTCGTTTTCCACACAAGTGAATAGTCTTTCTAATATAATGACTGGTGCGTATGTCCAGGTGTGTTTTCTACCATATTGCACATTTGCTTATGACCTGTGAATGCACATACTCAGTCCTATCCACAGCTTCTATATTATTGTCTCAGAAATAACCAATCAAGCAAAGCACAAACTTATTAATTAGATGTTTGGGGTAAGGAGGTGTTCTGATTCCTAACACTTCTTAATGAATTGAGGGTTCTAAAACATTTTTAGGTTCTTTGAGTCCCTTGTTGAAAGATCTTCCTAAAACACACGTGTGCACATGTACACTAGGGGTTGTCGAGAGCTCTCAGATCATTTTTTCCCAGTGTCCATTCTTACCTCGCAGTGTCACACGTGTAGAAGGTAGACCAGATGGCCAAAATTTGTGCCTGCCCTAGAGCTTGCCCTGAATGTTTAAGAATAAATACTTGTTAGGAAATTGTTTTCATTTTCAATTTTTTCGTTTTAGAGGCAAACCATTGTTAACTGGGGGGCTTAGCTCTAGATCCTCAGGCCCCTGCACAGTGTCTGGCACAGAGTATATACTCAATAAGTGTTTTCCAATTAAATTAAATTTAAGTAGAAGAAGAAAGTGAAATTTAACCAACATTTATTGTGTTCTCAGAATGAGGCAAACATTGCTTTTGAGTCTTTTACTTGGAATGCCATCACATCTTCACACTAATTGAGGGAAGGCGGAAGGCATGCAGAGATATGTTGTTTTTCCTAATTTACAGGTGAAAATAGGAAATTAGAGATTAGAGAGGGTTTAAGTGACTTATGCAGAGTCACACAGCTAGCGAACATTATATTACATTTGGGTCTGAAATCCGGATGTTTTAACTCAATGTCCAGAGTTCCCTTGTGGCTCCTTATGAGTCTGCTTCATGATGGAGCCTACCCCAGGAACCTCAGTTAACTGAAATGCTTACCACACTGGCCCAGGGGAATGGGAAACCTTTCCTGAATAATTGATTTAGATTTCTCCCTAAACAAACCCTGTCTTAATTGAGGCAGCATAAGAGCTTCCTTTCTCTAAATCTCTACGTTCAAAGTTTTGCTAATTCCCTTTAACTCATGGTGCTTGTATGCACTTCAAATTCAAGTCACTCACTCAATGTTTTAATTACTATCGCTGCAGGGCTGCCAGGCTGTCAAAATATCTTCCAAAGTTTTGTCTTGGAAAGTAATCTAAAAACATTCCATTTGCGAAAAAATGAAAACAAGGCTTTTTTCTACACGTTGACAACAGCACAGCTTTTGGATGTGCAGCCAGCACTGCTAGGAAGATTTGAAGACTCAGAATATGGGGCAACATCTGCTAATTGCCTGTTGGGTTGAAATATGTGAATTTGTGACGTGTGTATGCAGGTCATTCTTTAATGTACCTACTAGCCTTAAATATTTGGGTGCATTTGTGGAAAAGACAACAATAACGTGTGTGCTAAGAATTGCAGGTATCCTGCCTCGTATTAGTTTACTCTAAAATCGTGTGCCTCCTAAACTCATGCCAAAGTCCAGGAGCTGGAGGATGTGAGTGTTTTCACCACTTGAGTGAAAGACAAGTGAAGAATCGGACATTCTTCCAGTTTGTACATTAGTGGAATTGTGAGCAGGACCCAGAATGCAAAAAGGATTTGCCTTCAGCTGCAAGGGTTACAAGAGAAGACTACTCAGTTAACAGTCAGAAGAAGGAGTAAGGAGCTGGGCGTGGGTATGAGATGGGGAGTGGAGAGGAATAAAACAGAGTTTGAATCATACAACTTTAAAGATAGATGGGACTTTGAAAATATTTTAATCCCGTCCTGTCTCTTATAGATAAGGAATCTGGTTCCCTGAAAAATTTAGTGAATTGTGCGGGAGATGGAGATGGTAGTCAGAGTTAGAATGTGTGCTAGGCCTCTTGACTCTTTGCCCAATATTGTATCCACCATACTCCACTAGCTCACTATGTTTTCATCATCCCCCCTGCAGGGTCTCCTATATTCGCTCCCACCTCATCACCCTTCCCCCACCTCCCATAGGTATTTCATTTTGTCTCTCTGGAGCCCAATTCTCAGTCAAGGCTTCCACAGTTTGGCCTGTGAGATGGTGGGAAAAGAGGCGGTAAAGGGGGCCCCATTGGCAAGAGAAGACGAAGGCTAGAGATGGGCAAGTGCAGAACCATTGCAGTCTAGAAGGGGAACAGGGCAGGCAGGGAAACTAAGAGGAAGTGAGGCCGTGGGGAAGTTAGGGGGAAGGAGGGAAAGGATGATAAAGAGGTAAAGCGACAGTTTTTAAGAGATAACACCATGGAAGTCCTCTGGCAAACTATCAAAAGTGCTTCTTTGAGATTAAAAACACTAAGTGCATTTTGGAGTTTCTTTTAAGTGGTCTTTCCTATCACAGTTGGAAAAGAAAGGCAGAAAGAGAGAGGGCGAGAGAAATAGACCTCACTTAGTAGTCACAGAAGCCAGTACGTTCCAAATCTCAGTTTTATTTGAGTGGTCAGCATCTATGGATTTTTCCAGAATTCAGCTTAAGGACTTTTGATTATAGAAGAAATATCCACAGCTTGACAGTGAGAAACAAACATATCCCAAGGGCTTCTCATTTACCTGAGATCTTGAAATCTAGTTTCATGGCGTACCTGGAGCCATCACCATGGAAAGAACTAAACCATTTAAAATTGGTTCAGGAATTATTTTATACTTAGGAGAAATAATGGAGACATGTACGCATGCTGTTTTGTACTTTACTTCGGGGTCCAGATTTTTCTCATTTAAAAATGTTAGCACATACAGAGTCTATGTGTAAACCCCAGAGGAAGGAAACTTTGTTGAAGGAAAGTCTGTAGGCCTGGTGTAAGCTCCTGCAAATCTGTATCCACGTGGTCGAATTGAATCAGCTCTAGGCTAAGCCCTCAGGACATCACTTTTACCCAGAAAGTCCAGGGAATGCTGCTGGAGTCCTGTCTTTAGGACCCACTTGCAGCTGTCTGCAAAACATTACGTGATGAAAGATTAGCCAAAGGAGACATGAAGGCACAAAATCGAAAAGCAGCCTGTGCACAAGGCCTGGACGTGACTGTTGGTTTTGGTGGCTGAGAAGCAGTCAGAAACATTCTCAGAAGAGAATTCCTGGGAAAATCAAACAAGGTCTGTCCCCCTTCCTGGCCGCATGATGGCGCACGAACCCCACTCACTGACAGCTCAGGTGCTGGGGTGGAGCCAGGAGCCAGGCAGCTGGAGGGAGGGGGCTCCTGTTCATGGTATTGAGCCAGCAGGCTTGAGGGAGCTTGTCACTGGTTCCCATCGATTGTGCAGTGGCCACCATGGGAACTTCCCCACTGAGGAGCTAGTCTTGCCCTAATGATTTTATGGCTTTCAGAGAGCACCTTCCAAAGGCTCAGGGGAGTGGTTCTGATCCTAGTGTCATCCTAGCTGTGCTCTGGGCAACTGCAAGTCCAAAATTGAAACACTCTGGAACTTTGCCATTTTGGAAGGATGTCACTCTCTTACCTAAATGGAGCATAACTGGGGACATCAGCAAAGGGAGGTTGCTTCCCTATGGGGAGCAATTGTTCTGTGACTTTAAGCCAAAATTATATCCTGAGGCCAAAACCTTGAAATTGTAGCTCCATTCACATTAATTAAAATAGTACTGGGAGTTTTTATGGAGAATATGCATACAGACTTGGAAAAAATCTAAATTAACCAATTATTGATTCCTCTGCCACTATGTATGGATGGTTGGGGTTAGAGTTCACAATGATATCAATTGCCCTCAAGAGAATTATGTATCTAGTTAAGGAAAATACTAAAAAGAACAAGCATTTATTGAATGTTTACTGTGTGCTAGGCACTGTGCTAGGTGCTTGATATGCGTTATATTTTTTTAGTCCTTATAAGAGTCCTATGACATAGGTATAGGTATTAACTCAGAGAGGTTAAGTAACTTGTTCAAGATCACACAGCTAGTAATGGAGGAACGCTGTCCATATTCAGATATGTCTAACACCTAGTCCTGTGATCATAACCTCCCTACCCAGAGACACCTTAAGAGACATGGGGCACTATTTGGAGGTCCAAAATCCTGAATGCAGCCAGCCAGGGACTTCAAGAGTGAGGAGACACATTTTCTGAAGATGTCACTTCCTATTTCTTCCCTCCTTTGTTTCTGCTGCCTGTAGACACCCCGTGGTGCTCCCCCATCAAGGTGAAGTACGGGGATGTGTACTGCAGGGCCCCTCCAGGAGGATACTACAAAACAGCCCTGGGAACCAGGTGTGACATTCGCTGCCGGAAGGGCTACGAGCTGCATGGCTCTTCCCAGCTGGTCTGCCAGTCAAACAAACGGTGGTCCGACAAGGTCATCTGCAAGCGTGAGTAGTCCAGCCCCATGTGGGGTCCCCAGGGCCAATCAGAGTCAAAGTTCTTTTGCTCTGAGATCAGGGCTTTTTACTGAACATTCTGTGGTCTTTGATGAGAAAAACTCCCCTTGTGAGCAGAAGTCAGAGGGTTTCTAAGATATGGCGGAAGTGAGATGACACCTTTCAGACAGACGGGTGTGATCGGCTATTTAGGAAAGGGAAAGAGAACAGAGGTTTTGTTAAGCCAGCGGTTAATGTTTGTTCAGTAAGTGCTGGACCCTGAAAAGGTGTTGGGATGTAGAAACAAATAGGACACACACAGGCTGTGCCATCAAAGGCATCACAGGATAGCTTCAGAGACAGCAGGGCAGAGATGTAAACAGTGGAATGAGTACATGAATGGTGCTAAGTCAGGGACTCATGGTAGCGGAGGCAAGAAGTGTTCTCCCAAGGAGTGGGCTTGGGGAGACCGGGAGAGTCACTGAAGAGTGATGCTTATTCCAGGAAAGGGAGCGTGCCCCAGGGGAGAAGACTGGAAGAGCATTTCAGGGGCTGACTTTTAGCTTCATGAAAAGTCACATCTCATTTGGGAAATTGCAAGTGGTACAGCACTGTTGAAGCACTTTTTAGATGCCATTGTTATTCAAAACAGCCACCATTTATTGAGCACCTATTGTGTGCCAAGCATTTCACATACATTCAATTTTTGCAACAGTGCTATGGATATGGGTGCCATTACTTTAACTTTATTTTTGGGGAACCCGAGGCTCAGGGCTGTAGCCATGTGATCCAGCCTATGCAGACTATGCAACTGAGTGTCTATAGTGGGCACTTGCGGTGCTTCACTCAGATCTCCCTGGATGCCCTTTACCAGTTCTCTGTGTCCATCTCCCAGCTTCTGAGTGCTTTACTCTTAATGGCTTGCACCTTCGATCTTCTTCAGAGGAAGCAGAGGCCCTGCTCCTTCAGGGGACTGCTCTCTTTATTCTGACAGGGACAGCATCCCCACGGGCAGCCTGTAGCTACCCCCATACTGAGTGGTAAAGGATTAATGAAAGCCCAGCTTCCTCGCCTGGAGGCGGGATGGACCGGTGTCATTCATGCTCCAGAGCTCCCTTGTGGGAGGAGGCTGAGGCTGACTTTGCCTGAGATCCCACCTTGTCCGGTTTCCTCACTTCCTCTGTGTTGCTTCCCCCGCCCCTAACTGGTCGCCCCTGGGAGCACTTTCTTATAAATCACTTGAACACAAATCCTTGTCTCAAGGTCTTCTTCTGAGGAACTCAGCCTGAGACAGCGGCTTAGCTGGGATGCCAACCCAAGCCAGTCTGATGTGAAACTTTGTGTCCCTTCTGTGTGACGTGCAACCATCCATTGTTTCTCTAATTCTATCCATTATATTTCAATGAACTTTTCACCCTATGCTTTCAGAGTTTCTGGACTCTGAAACTCTAGGGACAAAAACTAAGAAATGCTGAATATCTGGTTTTCTCTTTTTCAGAAAAGCGATGTCCTACCCTTGCCATGCCGGCAAACGGAGGGTTCAAGTGTGTAGATGGTGCCTACTTTAACTCCCGGTGTGAGTACTATTGCTCACCAGGATACACACTGAAAGGGGAGCGGACGGTCACGTGTATGGACAACAAGGCCTGGAGTGGCCAACCAGCCTCCTGTGTTGGTAAGAAAATATCACAGCCTTCAGGAGGGACAAACTTTGGAAAGAGCAGGGGGTGTTCATACAGTGGATTTTAAAGGAAGCATCGGCATCCCGTGTGTAAAGCATAGGCACCCAGCTTTGCTTTCAGTAGCTCTCTTCATCCCTAGTCCTCTGGCTCGGCCCAGACCTAACCTGTCTCTATCCTAGAGCTGACTGCACAGCTGATGACTTTCATCTGATGTTTGTCTCTTTCATGGCTTGCTTGTTATTGAGGCAGCTGCAGGCTGGCAGGGGTAGGGCATGTTCCTGCTGCTTTAGTTCAGGGATCTGCCCTGTAGCATGGGCCAGTTGCTGACATTTGCAGGACAGTCCTGCAGAGAGCATCTAGGTGGCTTTCAGCCCACAGATGTAGTTCCTTTTTCGTGGACTCTGGTAGTCAGCAAGCGCTCAGTTTGCTAAGCTGGAAGGGATTTGGATATTTCACCTTGCTCTGAGTTTGTTGAGCAATGGTTCTTACTGTGTGGTCCTGGGAGCAGCAGCAGCAGCATCACCTGGGAACTCTTTAGAAATGCAAATTGTGCCTCCCCACCCCCTCAGACCTGCTGAATCCGAACTCTGGGAGTGGGGCGCAGCACTTCGTGCTCTAATGAGCCCTCCAGGGCATCCTGAAGTGCTTAAAGAGAGAGCCACTGATCTAAGGCAGTGCTCCTCGAGCCTGGGAATCGTGTTAAAAATGCAGATTCTAATACAGCAGGCCTGGGGTGGGGCCTGGGATTGTGCCAGACCGTGCTCTAAGGCAAGGGTTCCGAACCTCGGCACAGTAGACATTTGGGGCCACATAATTATTTGTTGTGAGGTCCTGTCCTTTACACTGTAGGATGCTTAGCAGATCCTTGGCTTTTACCCACTAGATTCCAGTAACATCTCCGCCTCCCAAGTTGTGACAACCAAAAACGTCTCCAGACATTGTCAAATGTCTCCTGGAGGGAGGGGGAGAGTAAGAAGAAAAATCACCCCCCCATACTGAGAAGCACTGGCCTGGGGGCAGTGGCTCCCCACCCTGGCTGCTCACTAGAATCACCTGAGTGCCTTTTAAACCTAGCCGTGCCTTGGTCCTGCCCTAGAGATTGTGACTCAGTTAGCCTGATGTAGGACAGCTGGAGGAGGCAAGTGGCATTATAAAAACTTCCCAGGTGGTTTTGATGTGCAGCTAAGATCCAGGACCATTGTCTGAGGGCAGCGGATCTCAGTGTGGTCCCCTGACCAGCAGCATCAGCATCACCTGAGAACTTGATCCCAGCCCGGCTCCAGACCAGCGGTATTAGAAACTCTGGGGTGGGGCCTAGCAATCTGCATTTCCAGGCCCTCCAGGGGATTCTGATGCTCTAAAGTTTGAGAACCTGCCTTAGAAGATCAAATCTGGGAAGAAGTTTAGTACCTTTCTACTCAAAATAGTGCCCTCTGATCAGCAGCATTAGCACCAGCAGGAAGCTTCTTAGAAATGTGGAATCTTGGGACCCATCCCAAACCTGGCAGACCAAAATCTAAATTTTAAGAAGATCTCCAGGGGATTCCTATGCCCTTTAGATGTTGAGGCAGACTGCTCTAGGACAGTGGTTTTCAACTTGGGCTGCCATTTAAATCTGAATCTCTGGGGCCCTGGTATTTTTCTGAAGCTCCCCCAAGTCGTTGAGAAACCTGTCCCAGGGGATCATTTACTCATAAACTGTTAGGGCTTCCAGGACTCACCCTTACAGAGCATTCTAGTCCAATCCCTCATTCTACAGATGAGGCCTCAGAGGTCTATGCTCAAGGTTGCATAGAGCCAAGCCTATGTTTCCAGGCTTTCAGGCCCAAAGTCCCTGAATCCAGGGAGAGCTCTGGCACTGAGGTGCTAAGGCAGCTGGCCTTGGAAGCCTGGCTCCTGTCCTGCTGGGATCTGCCCATCCTCCAGAAAACTGTTCAGCTCAGTCTGCTAATGTGCTTTACCCCTGCCCCCCCCAGTATTCCTTCCTGATTGCTCAGTGTCTGGGACAGATACTTCAGGATTAAGACTGAAATTGGATGCTACCCTCTGGGGTCGGATGTGCAACAACTTCGCTGGCCTCAGTCCCAGTGGTGTTTTCATGATGGCACCACTGTTCACCGTCTTCTCTAGCAGCACCAGCCATTCTCACTCTACAGTTATGTGGTTAATGGCCTATAGCCAAGGGACCTGGCCCAAGATGTGATCAAAACCCTTCTGAGTTTTATATCAGAGTCACAGCCTGGACCTTACGTTGTATCCATTTGATGAGAGCAACAGGTCCAAATAATTACCCAGATGACTGACTCAGATTTATCCTGGGCTTCTTTTTTCCTAGGAGTTAGATAGGAGTTTGTATTGGTCAGTATTTGGGAAAACAGAAACCAGTCTAGGTATTTCAAACAGAGGGGAACTTGATGCAGGGTAATGGTTACAAAAACATAGGAAGAGCTAGAGGAAAAACACTGTTACCGGAGATTAGTTAGAGCAGAAAGCCATGCCAACCAAGGGCTGGAGGAGCAAAAGTGGGATAGTAGTGTTACCCAAAGTCCATAAGCCCACCTGTGATCCTGACACATCTGTAAATGAAGTCAGGAGCCCACACTCCTGTTGATATTTCAGAAGCCCAGGAAGCCCTCCCCATGAAGCTCCGACTAGAAGCATAATGGTGTCCACCTTCTTCCTGCCTTCTATTCTCATGAGAGTGCCTCTTGGCAAATCTATCTGGCACCCCGCTGGCAAAAGAAGTCTGGGAAATGTAATTTTGACACTATTAGTCCAGGTGGTAAAGGGGAGATTATAGAAAAACAGCACCAACAGAGTATTTGGCACAGCAACCATTTCCCAAGGTTTGAGATATTTCCCCCTGAATCATTGTAGTTCTCAGTGAAAAGAAGACTGAAGAGCAGTCCTCGTCAACTGGTGCAGGTAGAATGGTGCTGAGGCTGTGAACTCTGGACATGCTCCTCTTGAAGGACCTAAGGCCAGATGCTCAGGTCAGAAGGGCCCCTCACAGATAATGCGTTCATTATCCCCCCGTGACTTGGTATGTGCAAGCTAGCTCTTCAAAACAACCCCCCAAATTTTTGAATCTCTTTTACCACACATTGGAGGGGGCAGAGGGGAGGGGAGGAAGGAGATGCTGAAAAATCTTTCTGCTAAGCAAGCATTGGCAAAGAGTTCTCTAGGGATCATACTGTCCAGATGTCCAGATTGTGTGCAACAGTGGAAAGAAAATGCTGATTGTTCTCAAAAAGCAACAAGCATGTCTGAAGCTGGACCAGATGGGCCTGGAACCTTTCCAGAGGGAGAAAGAAAGAACTAAGAAATGAACCCCAATTTCAAGGGATCTATCTTAGAGTTTGCCAGGACAAGGTTCAGGCATATTTAGGGGCGGGGAGTTGTGCATGCATTTAAGTGGGAGTGGCAAAAAGGGGACCAGTGAGCCACAAGAGAGCATAGAGCCCCCAGGAAAAAGAGAGAAATAGACAAAGCAAGCGGGCAATTCTTTCTTCGATTTTGGTGACAGATAAGCTAGAATTTGTATCCAGTGCATTTTGCTCCAGGGATGTCATTGACTCTTTCGTATTTCAATATATTAAATTAGTTTAATAACTGTGTGTGTTGGCAGGGCTACGGGGCCCTTGAGCATAACTTAGAGCCTCAGCCTATTTAAGGAGCTGACACATGGTGGCTGAGTAGTTCCGAGATTTCCACATAACCTTGAATGGTGCATCTTGGCCAGAGCTGTGCTGAGTGCTGAGAAAATTGTCCCAGTTCTCTTCCAGACCCGGAGGAAAGAGAGAACACTGGGCTTACTTTTGACTCTGAGGTGGTCAGTTCTGTGGTCTGGCTAATTTGAAAGTGCCACGAGTTAAAATTAATTCTCTTATACAGACCACACTCTGGCAGTGGACTCAAATCCATGGTTATTTCTGAAACAGACATAGATAGAAATAAGTCAATGGAGGAGAAAAAGCATACTGTAAATTGAAGAAGGGTAAGATATTTAAAGAGCCACAACTTCCATTGATATAAAAAAAATAAACTTTAGAATGTAACAACTATTGTTTGGGAGGCTATTTCTTCTTTCTTTCCATTTTTAGTTATTTTTGGTTACATCGGCATTTAGATAGACAATGGACAGTTAGAATTACAAGTCCTCATCTAGAGACCAGATTTTGAGTAGATGCATGATCTCTCCTTTAGACCAACACTTTTTCCTAGGCCAAAAGAGGAAGAGAAAAAAATTAAGGAAAGTTAAAAAACCATGGACAATGAAAACTCAGCAAATATCTTTTGACATGCTGAGAGCCCCATTTAGTTGTTTTAACAAAGGACAGTGTACAAACAAACTTGGTTTTTGGCATAGCTCGCTGCTTGTTTTCTACTTCCTACGGAGTAGAACAGATGGAGAGTTAACACAAATGAAATTCTGGAATGAAAAACCTCTGAGATTTAAGATGTGCAAATTGATGGAATCTGCTTTCCCAACTATCTGACAGCTAGGTTTACCCAGTGTCCCATAGGGAAGGTTTCTGGGCTGCGCTGCATGATTTCCAGAGATTCAGTTGAATATACAAATGTCGTGGGACAAAGAATAAATTTATCAGTACATTGTTGTAGATTATCTTAAATTATGCTAAATTTTTCCTGGGTTGGAAAATACACATTCTTTTGCAAACTTTCAGGAAGCTAGCTTCAGCTTTGAAACAACTTGATTGATTGAGATACTGATCCACTTTTTACCTGGCATGATTTTGTTAGTACAAACTGAACAGGTAAACTTTGAGTGGCCCTCTCTAATAAAAACATATCACCAATGAATTTTTAGTTGGGCATCTTTCTGATGAAGATGGTGACTTTTAATTGTGGGATTTATTGCTTTCCTTCTTGCCTCTTTTGTCCATTGGAGAAAGTTTTCCAATATCTTATATGCTACTAATATCTTAGATGGCACTTCCCACAGGTATCACACTCTAGCTAGGGAAGCAAACAGTTGGGCAAGTTTTCAGTGTCCAGGTTTGTTCTGCCTTTGACAGTCATTCCCTTCCTGTGCCCCATGAAGTGATCGCTTCCTTCCTCCATCACCAACTTCAAACTATTTTATATTTGTATCAGTAATTGATTGCCGCACAACAGACCACCCAAAACTTAGTTGCTTCAAACAACCATGTCTTTGCTTGTGGTTGTTTGGGTTGGGAATTTGAGCAGGGCTCGGTGGAGACAGCTCATCGCTGTTGCACATAGTAATGACCGAGGTGACTGACTAGGGCTGAAGGATCCACAGTGGCTTTCCGCACAGGTCGGACTTCTCCCGCGGAGGTGGCTGTACTGGCTGGAGTTTGGCTGAGTCTCTTCCTCCTTTCATAATTTCTCATCATCTCCACATGACTTCTCTGGTCAGATAATTGGACTTCCTTAGATGGCAGCTGGCTTCCAAGACAGGCAAAGTAGAAGGTGCCGGACTCTTTAAGAGCCTAGGCCTGGGTCTGGCATAGGGTCACTTCCCTTGCATTCTATTAGTCAAAACAAGTCACAAGACTGGCACAGATTCAAAGGGAGGGGAAATAGGCTCCACATCTTGGTAGCAGGAGCTGCATGTATATAAGGGAATTATGGGAAGCCATCTTTGCAAAGAATTCACCACAGTATTCTTTGTTAGAAATCAGTGCTTGGAAATCATTAGTGAAATACATCTTGGGAGATGTTATACAAGATGCTATGTAGGAGTAATTTGAAAAAACAGGTGTGATCAGGTACTATTAACAAGGCCAAAATAATAATGCTTTAAACAAGATAGAAGTTCCCTTCTCATATAAACGTTTGTGCTTAAGCAGTCCAGGGCAGTGTCCTAGGTCCCAACTCCTTCTCACTTGTTGTTCCTCCATCCCCAGCTTGCAGCTTTCATCTCACAGTCTAAGATGGCTGCTTCAGCTCCCCACCACATCCACGTTCAAACCACGGTGGAGGAGGAAGGAAAAAGAGGAGGCTACACCCCCACCTTTTTTAAAGCACAGCCCAGAAGTTGCACACGTCACTTTTTCTCACAACCCATTAGTGGAACCCATCACATGGCCACATCTAACTTCAAGGGAGTCTGGGAAATGTAGTCTTTATTCTGGAAGGCCAAAGGCCCAGGCAAACTTCTTTTGCTATAACAGAAGGGGGATCAGATAGCAGTTGAAGGACCGCCAGCCTCTGCCACATTGACTATACAGATTGAGAGCAAGTTGGTGTGAAAGATCAAGGGGTAAAAGAAGTGAGAGAAGCAGCAGTTAAAAAGCCAGTTTGAATGGGATATGTAGGAAGGCAGAGAGGAAAGGGCATTAAATGGAGTCTGTTTGCTGTGAGGAGCTGTGACATTGCTTGACTTGGGATAAGAATATCATCTTGCCTTAGGATGAGGTAGAGAGGAGGGACCCCACAGCGGGTCAGGCAGTCTCAGATAGAAGTTACTGTCATGTTCTGAAGTGCCTATTAATCATATCTCTGACAGTCATCTTCAAACACAGATTTCCACTGGAAAACACTAAGCAAACATTTTAGGATGCAGGAAATTTATTGCCTTAGTTTAAAAGGTTTTTGTTTCTTGTTACCTGTTGGCCAGGACATTGTCCTGTTGAACCTCTACTATTTCTTACCACCTACCTGGTTAGACATGTTAAGGATTCCCAAGTACATTGTTCAGCTTTTTAGAGAAATAGTAGTTGATACAGTACGGTATATTTGTTTCTGATATTTTATATGTAGAGAGGAAACTAGAGCGCAGAGAAAGGAGACAGTTTGTCAGATGTCTCCAATGAATGGGGCAGAGGCCAAGATTTTCACAATTTCAGGGTTTCCACACAATAACTGTCTCTGTGGGCATCCTGACTCAACAGGGAATCGTAATTATGTTTCTATAGTAACTTTGTTCATTTCATTCATGGAAATTTATGATAACTTATAAAAAGCCATGATGACCACGGCTGTGTAATAATAGGCTTAGGTTTCTGGAGCATCTGCTGAAGGGCAGGCCAGCTGTCTCATTAGCTGAAAGAGACGGCATGATGCTTAGGATGCAACAGAATCCAGTCCTGCTGCTCTTCTTCACGGATTTATGGGGACGCTGTAGCAGGCTACCACAGAGGAATGTGTGCGCAGAGGCTGGAGGAAAACACTAGCAGCAGGCAGACACACAGAAGTGTTTGGCTTATTAAAATAATTTAAAAATATGTCTTAAAATCCCAGACCACAAAGAAATTCCAAAAGAGAGGAAATGCTTTCCAGTCTCTAAATGGGGATGATAATAACAATACTCAGTCTAGTGGGCGGTTGTGAGAATTCAATGAAATAATGCAGGGGTAGTACTTAGCATGGGGTGGGCATGTAGGAGGGTTCAGTAAGTATTAGCTCTTATTTTTAGTGATCTGTTTCTTCTTGTTTCTGGTTTGGAAGAGCACTGCTTCTGAAAAACTGAGTCAGTTTCAACTAATCATTATTAGCTGGGCAGGGACTGCCTTTGGGAAGCTCTGAGACTCTTTACCCAGATAACCTAATTTGGAGCGTGTTTGTTCACACTGTCAACACATCTAGTTGATACAGAAAACAACCCAGTATATCATCCAGATGTTTAGTTTACATGACAGAGACTAAGAGTATCTCTTCACTCTGACAATGTTGCTCCAAGAAAATTTGGTAACACAATGTAATTTTACATCGAAATCTCTCTCCTCAGCCCCTCCCCTTTTGCTTTAAATTTTTAAAAAATAAATATACTTTCTATGATTAGTGCCAGCTATATTTGACCAGCAGGGGGCAGGTATTGTATACTTGTCTTTCTGATTCGCCCAAAGCTGTGAAATGTTTATCTGAATTATCAAAGTATGTCTTGTATCACCTATCATATTAAAAAAAAAAGGATTAAAAACTCAACAACTGAAAATAGACACCTTGAATGCATTTAAACCAGCTTCCGTTTCATCATAACATTTATATCCTTTATTTTATCACTTCTACAAAGCATATTTTTTCACATTTTAATATCCCTGAAATTGGGATGCATCTCACAATTAATAGTGACTCAGATTCAATAAAATATGGTAGTTATTCAATTTAAGATTAGAGTATTACGGCTGTAAGTTCACACTCCATTGAAGCATGACATAGAATGAAAATGAATTTGGATAGCTGAAGGCAAAATTATTTAACGAATTATTCGTAATTTCTTACCCTAAATAAAATGAGAAGTTATTAGACAAGACGTGGGAGAAAGTATCTGAAGACTTGACTTGGTACATTTAGTCTCTCAAAGATGTTTGTGATTCAGAATCAAATGACGTTTCATTTTCATTCAGTTTGTAGCAGCACTTAATAACTATCAGTTGATATGTAAAGCGATGCAAATCTAAGTTGTTAATTTGCTGTGCCTTCTTTAAATACATTCTCACTCTGTTCAGAATCATCAGGTGGAATTTGCAAACGTTTGAACTCCCCCTGCTTGTGATTTCACTTTACTATAATAAGATGAAATCCAACCCAGGGAGGAATTGACATCTCATTTATATCTAGCTTTGCTTATTGACCCATCTTAATAGTGAGAGGGCAGAAATTCTGTTACCACGTAGAGAAACTACTTGGGGAAATTTGGGAGGCCTTTGGAAGGCCAGAGCCAAGGAAAAACTGTTGTCCCCAAACACAAAACCATAGATGTGGTCCAATGGCAGTTGGAGGGGAGAGTGGACCCAGACAGACCAGCGTTTGTTTTAAGATACTGAGGACTATATTGGGAACAGGCAGAGCCAGAGGAGGGAGAGCTTGTTCCAGGGGTAAGTGCTCTGCTTGGGTTATAATTCACACTATCACTATCTACATGGCCTTAAATAAATCACTTAACCTCTTTGAGCCTCAGTTTCCACATTTGTAAAATGAGTGTTGGGTGGCTCCTTTAAGCCTCCATAACATTTACTTGTACCTCACCTGGAGCAGTGCCATTTTCTACCTTGCGTCATAATTCATATGTGGCAACATAATCTCCCTAATAGACTATAAGCTCTTTGAGGAGCACATGATTCTCTTGCCTTTGTGTACCCCCAAACCCAGCAGTTGGAATGATGCCTTGAGTAAGGCAGGCACTCACTAAAGATTCGTTGCTTTGTAGTGAATGGAACTAGGTGACAGCTCAGGTACCTTTCTCTAGTGTTCTGTGATGCTGTCTGTAAAGCAGGAGGGACTCGCTATAACTGAGTGACTTCTAGCTGGGTAACTGCCATATTGCCAAGTCAGTAGGCAGAGTTTGGAAACATGGGGAGGAAGTTGGTATAGCTAATAAATTACGCCACAAGACACCTAGCAAGGCCAGGTAATTGCAGGTTTAGCCATGCTCATGTGAGTGCTCAATCTTCAAAACTCAGCAGGAGAGAAGGGGCAAGATGAAGGGAAGGAAGAGAAAAACAGAGGGGTGAACAAACCCTTCAAAAATGGGGAACCACCTAGAGCTTCTGGCATGTCAAACGCAGGATGTTGAATCCCAAGTTGATAAGATATTTCTTGATGATGGTGAGAATACTCTGGTTATATTTCCAGATATGGAACCACCTAGAATCAAGTGCCCAAGTGTGAAGGAACGCATTGCTGAACCCAATAAGCTGACAGTCCGGGTGTCCTGGGAGACCCCTGAGGGAAGAGACACAGCAGATGGCATTCTAACTGAGTAAGTGCAGCTTGGCAGCTGGCATGATGTTGCCTCTTTTATGTGAGACATTTACTACCTAGAGAGGGGCAGTGTGTCTATGCTGGTCTGTTTCTGTGTTCAGACTCAGGACCGCACTCTTTCAGCTAATCCTCGTTCATGCTTCATTTTTCTCCACAGTCATCCTCACCATCTGACTTACTATGTATTTGACTTATGTATTTGTTTATTGCCTGTCTCCACTACAGTATGTTTACTGCCACATCCCTAATGCCCAGAACCATGCCTAGCACATGGTTGGTACTCAGCAAATATTTGTTGAAGGAAAGAAGGGAAGTAGGAAGAGGTGGTGGGAAGAAGAGGGACAGGAAGAGGAAGCCAGCTGGTTCATTCAGGGATAGGATCACCCCCATCGCCTGCCCACAGGGCTCCTACTCATGCCCCCAGGCCTTACTAAGCTGTCACCTCCCTGGGTGGCCTCTGTGTCTCCCATGTGGAGCCAGATGCTGTCCCCCTTGTGCTCTGCGAGTATGGTTTAGTGCAGAACTTTCCACTACTTTTTTTTTTTTTTTTTGGCACCTGCTTCTTTCAAAACTTTGGATTTTTAATTTATTTTTTAAAACTGTGACCACATTAAACGTTTACAGAATAAGCTTATAAAATAAGAGAAAATGTCTTCTGCCTTCTTCCCCATCCCAACCCCATTCTCCGGACCAAGTGCATTAATAGTTTGACATACATCCAAAATGTTTTTAAAAACGTGTGGTTCCCATTGCTGAAGTTTAGCTGCATGTCGTTCTAATCCAGCATCTGGGCCTGTACCCTTGCGGCTCTTTGGTTGGCCTCCACGTTCCCTGAAGGCCACTACTTCATGTCAGCACATTCACATCCATGCCTTAAAGTTCATGGCCCTGTTAGACCTCCCCACTGAGTTTCCATCTATGGACAAAGGATACCTTTGACTTACCTCCTGGTGAGTCATGTAGCAGGGAAAGACTTTCTAGAATCCTATCAAACCCGGGCTATGCAAGAGAAAACATTTTTAAGCAATTATTAGCAATAACAGAACATCTACTAGGAAGGGGTTGAGTCTCACCGTTAGCAGGACATTTTGTTCCTGTCCTGATAATTTTCTCCCAGTGTACCATCTAAATAATATTACTAATTGTGTTCCTCCTTGTAACTCCTCAAAGATAAAGTTCAAACTTCATTAAGAAAATTATTTATTTGATGTCACATATACATGTCCCAACCCCCTAAGGAGAAACTTTAGGCATTGGGATTAAAAAATAAGTCAAAATTGACATAATCAGGGATTGGGCCCAGATAGGAAAAGCAGAGAAAGTTCTAGCACCCCCTGCGGGCCCAAATTGCCAATGACTGCTTGGACTATATTCTCTAGTGATTTTCCTTACAGAAAATTGCCTCATCCTCCCAACAGTGAGCCAATTCAGGTCCCCTCTGGAACAAAGGTGGAACGGGAGGAAGACTTGGGTCCCGAGTTCTCAGCCTCCTCCACCCTCTGTTCTACCTTCCAGTGAGAAAAATGAATGTAAACTCCCCAGGAACTGGGGACTTGCATTTCTGGTCTCAAACTGCTCTTCCAAAACAGAGTAAAGCTCAGGAAATTCTATTCTTCAAGAAATCTTTGTTCTAGTCAAACTGGCTTAATGGTTGCCCCCGTGTATCACTGCGTCCTGTGCAGAGCGGGTGCTCAACAAATGCCCTAACAATGGTCTTTGATCATTAGGCCCACAATTGCCTAATTGTTGTTAGTCCCATAATGATCATCTTTGGTGTTTCTGGTTTTTTTCCTCCTTGAAGTGTTATTCTAAAAGGCCTCCCCCCAGGCTCAAATTTTCCAGAAGGAGACCACAAGATCCAGTACACAGTCTATGACAGAGCTGAGAACAAGGGCGTTTGCAAATTTCGAGTTAAAGTAAGAGGTAAGAATACTGCTTAATGGCTTTTTCCCCTCTTTACAAGAGCAAAGGGAGGCAGGCTCTCAAGCAGGAACCTCTGTGAGTGCGCACTGCCGTAGGGGTACTCCCTTCTTTGGATTAACCTCTGATGAGGCTAGGGGAAGTGTGCCATCTTAATGGCTGAATTTCACACCACAAATCCAGATGAGGTCAGTGTTGGCAGATTATTTCAGGAGTCCAAGGCAGCAGTAAACTAGTCTCACATGAGCCCACACCTGGCTGTCCTAGAAGACTATTATTTGATAACTTTTCCATCCCTGGGCTTGGGTGACCATCTAAAGCCTCCAAGTTCTTCCATAAAGGAGGCTAGGAGCCCCCTCGCTTGGGCCACCAGACCATGTTCTTGGTGTTCCAGAACTTTGGTCTGCCTGAAAAAAATGTTTTGAAAGATTTACTTTATACCTCATGGTTTGGGCAGCTAATTACTAACCATCTTTACTCTTCTGGGTTCAGCCTCCTCATCTAAAACACAGGGGGCTAAACCAGTTGATCTCAGTGGTCTCATTGGTATGAATAGTGACCATTCCAAGGCCCACCTGCTGGCCAGATAGCCATCCCTGCCTCCGTACTCACTTCACAGGCTGATATAGAAGCCTGATTACAAAGCTGGTACCTCTGAGCCCTCACCTTTCCTGGTTACTCTGTGGGGGGGAGGCTCAGCACTGAGACCCCTCTGGGCTTGTGTCCCTATAGTTAGACGCTGCGGCAAACTCAACGCTCCGGAGAACGGTTACATGAAGTGCTCCAGCGACGGTGATAATTACGGAGCCACTTGTGAGTTCTCCTGCATCGGTGGCTACGAGCTACAGGGTAGCCCTGCTCGAGTATGTCAGTCCAACTTGGCTTGGTCTGGCACGGAGCCCACCTGTGCAGGTATGTGTGCAGCCCTGTCTCTAGCCAACAGCAGACCCTGAAGCCCCCTTGGTTCTAGATTCCAGTAGAGGGAGGTAGGGTTTCATTCTACGCACTTGGAAAGGTTCAATGCCATCCCTCTTCGTCCAATGGGTGAAAATGGTCCTTGGATCCCTGCTGCAGCTCACCTCATCCACCCTCCTCCTTCGCCTCTGCCTGTCTTCTGATTTCTCTTTCACGTCCTCTTATGGAAGAAACTGGAGGTGAGAACCCGGGACTGGCCTTCAGTGACATTATGAAGCAGCAAAGTCTGCTCTAGTTACCCTTGTTCCTCCCTTCTACAAGGATCTTTTTTACAAAGCTAGTAAACTAGTGCATACAGACAATATAATGCCTGCTTTGCAGTGCTGGCTTGGAAGTCACACAGGCCTTGGGCATTCAGAATCTTTCTTCCTATGTCAAAGGAGGAAGATAATACCTACTATTAGAGTTGTTGTAGGGGTTAAATGAGGTCGTCCATTGAAGTGTGGAATAGAGCAGTGCCTGGCCCAGCGTAAGCCCTCAATACATGTCAGCTGTTATTACTGAGGAACAAAAATTGGGCTGGGTAGTGATAATAGTGTGAAATGTAGACCAGCTGGAAAATTCTGGACATACCTCTTATTTATATACTCCTGTTTTTGTCTCATTTCCTGGTCCTTTCTCATCTTTATGCTTTCCCTTTAATCCCAGCCATTCAGAGTTAGGTGAGAGAGAGAGAGACATGTACGTCATCAGCTAAATGCCTGAGGTTCCTCAGTTTCAAACATTAAAGTAGAAAGAACATACCTCCTTGCTTCCGGGTCTCACTTTCTGAGGCAGAGAGAATAAGGCCCCCAGCCCTGAGATATCCACATCCTAATCCCCAGAACCTGTGAATATATTACCTTATGTGGCAAAAGGGATGTTGCAGAGGTTATTAAGTTAAGGATTTTGAGATGGGCGGAGTAGCCTGGCTTGTCCAGGTGGGCCCAATGTAATCACAAGGATCTTTATAAGAGGGAGGCAGAACTGCTGTCAGAGAGCAAAAGATGATGGAAGCAGAAGCCAGAGAGAAGAGAGATGTCAAGATGTCAGGATGCTTTCCTGCTGGCTTTGAAGATGGAGGAAGGGCCATGAGCCAAGGAATGCAGGTGGCCTCTAGATGCTGCAAAAGTCAGGGAAACTTTCTCCCCTAGAGCATCTATAGGGAACACAGCCCTGCCAACATCTTGACTCTAGCCCAGTAAAACCCATTCCAAACTTCTGATTGCCAGGACTGTAAGAGAATACATTTGTGTGTGTTAATCCACTAAATTTGTGGTGATTTGTGACAGCAGCAAGAGGAAACTAATACACTTCTGCACTCTTTTTTTTTTTTGGTGAGGGAGATTGGCCCTGAGCTAACATCTGTGCCAATCTTCCTCTGTTTTGTATGTGTGATGCTGCCACAGCATGGCTTGATGCGTGGTGTAGGTCTGTGCCTGGATCCGAACCTGTGAACTGGGGCTGCTGAAGCGTAGTGGGCAAACTTAACCACTACACCACCGGGCCGGTCCCCCCAACTCTTCTATCAGTGCTTCTTGGGAATGCCTCTAGTATAAACTACTTACAATTGAATCTTTATCTCAGGGTCTACTTCTTATACATATGGTTCTGTGTGTCATCACAGGCTATGTTGAGTCAGAACAAGAGTTTCTGACCCATCTGGCCATTTCTGATTACAGCCATGAATGTCAATGTGGGTGTCAGAACAGCAGCTGCACTTCTGGATCAGTTTTATGAGAAAAGGAGGCTCCTCATTGTGTCCACACCCACAGCCCGAAACCTCCTCTACAGGCTGCAGCTGGGAATGCTTCAGGTGAGTCCTTGCGGCAGGGCCAAGGTGAGAAGGGGACCCCTAAGAGGAAGGGCCCAGTCATTTCATTAAAGGTAAGGGCCAGATTCAGTGCCTAATCCGTTTACTATGAGCTTCAGGAACTGGCACTTTAGAGTTAGCACCGTTCATTTCTGGTTCTAGGGCATAACATGATTAACATTGACTCCCCAGGACTAACCCAATTGTTTTCCAACTTATAAGGTTTGTTTGTCATCACTAATAAGCCTAATTGACATGCTGTCCAGGCCCAGCCAAAGAACAATGTCTTTGCTGAACCTGTCTTGGATATACCTGGGCTGGCGCCGATCAATCAGTTGTTAGCCCAAAAGGCTGGATCAAGGAATAAGGGGAGTCCAGGAGCCCTCAGGCCCCAGATCCTGCCCCAGGGGACTTCCCTAGCTCTCACAGCTCCTCAGAGAGTGACAACAATCTTTTAGAACAGTGGTCCTCAAAGTGTGTTCCACGGCAGCATCAGCATCAGCATCACCTGGGGACTTGTTAGAAATGCAAATTCTCAAGCCCCATCCCAGACCTACTGGATCAGAATCTACATTTTAATTACACCTCCAGGTGATTCCTTAGCACCTTCAAGTTGGAGGAACATTTTTCTGGGAAATGTGCCCTCTCGGCTGTGTAAATTTTGTAGCTACTAAATGAGGCAACCAATGTCTTTGGGGGCAAAAACAGAACAAAACTAGAAACTGAAAGGATGGAACCGAGAACTTGCGTGATTTTGTCCTGAAGCTGGTTTGCAAGAAGAGTGGCCAACCTGACAATGCTAAAGAGGCAGGAAGTGTGCTAGCTCATGGACACGGTGCTGCGCTTTTTTTGCACTTCATTCATTTATTACAGTAAATAGAACTAAGTGTTGAGAATATTCTTGGTTTAATCAAAGGCTACAATTTTGCTTCTCATTTCAACATTAATGCAATGAATAATGATGTCTGTCTTCATTCTCCCCATTTACTTGAAGGCTTGTCCCCCATGAACTCCAAAGAACCATACAAAAATTTTTAGGCTCCTTTGATAGGATTCCAGTTCGTTGTGTCTTTTCTCTCAATCTCTGGCACCTTACCTCCATCCTTGTATCCCCTTGTCCCAGCTAGGGTCTTGCTCTTCAGGTAACACAATCTCACACCACTCTGTTGTGTGAGAAATTGGCCTTGCGGGCCATATTCCATGATACATTTCCTGAGCTCTTCTTATTCCATAGAAAAACGAATAAGCCAAACAACTTGCTTTTCCTCCATGTTGGCAAACCTTGGCTTTTGCAGGTAAAATTTTATTGGAACACAGCCACGCTCATTCCTTTGTGCACTGTCCATGGCTGTTTTTGCACTACAGTGGCACAATTGAATAGTTAGGACAGAGACCATTGAGCCCGGAAGCCTAAAATATTTACTCTCTGGCCCCTTACAGAAAATGTTTGCTGACCCCTGCCCTGGGCTGTCCCATTCTTTCAGGTACTAGCTGAATTGCTAATCAACTAGTTGAATAAGATATTTGGTATCAAGGTGTTTGTATGTGACCTGCCCCTGCTCAACATATTTATATTTGCATTTTAACCAGAGCTTTTAAGGAAAGGTTTCATTGATTTAGGTATTTCAGTTAGAATAATAAAAAAAAATATATTTTACCTTTTCTAGCTTTTCTACCAATTCAGTCATCCCATACAGGGATGTTGCAGTGAAACTGTAGCAAAAAAACAAATTGGTGTTCTAATAAAGTTGGAATATTTTTCCCATTTAGGCAGATTTGTCTTGGTTACTTTTTTGTTCCCTTGTTGCCATTGCAGCTTCTGATGAGACCTCCTGGCATGTAGTTGATGGGCCATGTTCCCGAGGCTCTTGCCAAGGGCCAGCTCAGAGGCTTGGAACCTTTTATGCTTGTTTTCCTGCCTCCTTTGGGTGTGCGGGGCTTAGAGCAGGGAGATGTGGAGGGTGAAAACAAGGGCAGATATGAGGACTCTGGAAATATTCTTCTCTCCTTGCAGAGACAAATTTAGAGTCCTCTGGGAGTGCTCTTGGATACTTTCTAGGAAATTTGGCTCCTGCAAGGTCTCACCCCATCTGGATGTACATAGACTGCCATTTTGCTTAGGTTTTCAAAATGCCATTGCCAAGCCATTTCTGGATGATTCCTCTAGGAAGGTATTTAGGTTTTATAGCCACCAGTTCAGCCCCAATTTCTCAACTATTTTCAGGACAGTGTGGAGTGGGCAAATAAACTTCCAAAAACAGACCAGCGCTGCTTCTGTCAGTCTGTAATTTGACATGGAAGACTCTTTCTTCCACTATTGTTTTTTTTTTTTTTTTTTCCAGCAAGCACAGTGTGGCCTGGATCTTCGACACATCACCGTGGTGGAGCTGGTAGGCGTGTTCCCCACCCTCATCGGCAGGATAGGAGCAAAGATTATGCCTCCAGCTCTAGCTCTGCAGCTCAGGTAGGGGGAAGTCCTGTCCTTCACTTCTATCCTCTATAAATGCACTTTGTTTCTGATCAGGTTGCCTGATTTCTTTCTCTCCAGTATTGATTCCAGGTAACCTTCAATGTTTAATTGCTTTTATTCCAGGAGTATTATAACCTTGTTAATTGGCATGTTGCTGCTTCTCCAGATATATCATGTACTGGGTAATTACCAGGGTTCTCTTCTTTCCCCCTCCAACTAAGTGTTTTTGCTTTGTCTTTGTTCTTTTTTTCCCTCCCTTGGTGGGAGTGGGATGGGTAGGGGAGAGCCTGCAGGAAGGACTTAAGCAATCCTTGCTCTTATTAAGAGGGCAGGCATCCAATTAGCCTTTCCAGGCTTGGCCTCATTTTCCTCCATGCTTCCAGGGCACTTGTCCATACCCCCATTTTAACAATTATGTTTTATTTTGGTAACACTTATAAAGCCAGAACCCTGGTGTTTAGACTGTGAGTAATGGTACATTAAAGAAGAATTCAACATCCAAAAGGTAATTTCAGAACAACCCAAATTTTAATTTGTATCTCTTGACCATTGTGAAAAGGATAATTAGGCTAAAGCAAAACTCCTTAAAATCTTCCTTTCTCACCCATCTTTTTCTCTCACACACTGCAAGGGAGGGTGCCGATCTCTGTTCTACATAGTCTCTCAGGGCCCCAGGCTGATGGCGGCTCCACTATCTTGTAGCATCAGCATCCAGAACACATGGCTTCCAGATTTCTGCAAAAGGGGAAGAGAGAGTAAAAAACCAACCACACCCCTCTTTTACGCTTCACATTGGAGGCATAAAGTTGCTCTCTTTCCCAGTCCATTGGCAAGAACTTGTCACATGATGGGGATCAAACTTCAAACGAGGCTGGGAAATGCAGTCTATTCCTAGGAAGAAGAAAATGAAATAGGACTTGGCAAACCCTATTGTTACTGGCCACAAACAGCTGCTTTACCCACCACACAAGAGGGGCCAAATAAAAACTGGAACGCCAGGCTTATGGCAAGGAAAGGGTTTATTGTTATTATCAAAAGGCAGCCAGGTGAGGAGATAGGAGTTAGTTAGAACTCAGATCCACCTCCTCAAAGGAAGAAAGGTAGGGATTTTTATCTGGGGTTTTAGGTAGGGGAGGGAGAGCATGTGCTGGGGTTTTAGGTAAGGAAGGGGAGCGTGTGGCTTTGCTGACTGGCGCCTTCCCACTAGTGCGCATTTGGCCTTGAAGACTAAATTTCTTTTCCCTTGACTGTCTGGACTTTTCTGGTTAGTTTTCACCTTCAGTTTGCATTTGGCCTTGTGAGGCTGCTTGCAGGAAAGGGGATGGCAAGATAAGGGAATCTGCAGGGGGTGTCCTTGGTTGTCTGCCTCAGGGTGGATGGTGGATTCTGGTGCCAGGAAGCTGAGGAGTTGGGGTCTGGGAAGCTTCAGCCTCTTGATATTCTCTGGGCATCAGTTTCCCTGTAACAAACCTCAAGAACATGTAATTAGCCAAAACTTCAGTGTGAGGCCACCTGGGCTTTTAACAATTTGTCATTTCTATTTGCCTTGTGAAGTTCAGGGATACAAAGGTTTAAAAAAAAACAATATTTCCATATGAGTGTAACTTAGAGAAGCAGGGAAAGAGGATGAGTGCTTTTGGTTTTAACCCCATATGTACTGGGTTTAATGTAGGGGAACTGATATCAGGGCTGGTATCACTATCACAGTTGTTCAAAGAGGGTCACAGAAATTCCTTGAGATTATGTGATAGAAATATGTCCTTGGCAAGCAGTGTTATAGGCTGACACACTATCTTCTTTCTCTCATTCCCCTATTTTTCATCTGCCTTTTGAACCATCCCATGTTTGATTTATACCTCTCTCCACCTAAAGAGAGTCTTCCCCATCCACACCAAGGTCAAAAACTCAGAGGGTCAGGGATGGGAGTAAAAATAGAGGATGCTTGAATTCTCTTTAGTTGGCTGAAGAAGGGAGATGGCTGGGTATACTCCTAAGTTTTGATATATATATATATATATATATTTCTTGTCCTACTGGATTTGCAGCTAGCACCACCCTAGGGTGTTAACACTTTTGAGGTCAGTACCAGATCTTTTCAACATTTGCTACCCGGTACCTAGCACAGTGCCTGGCACCATGTTGGTGCCAAGTAAGTGGAGTAAATGACTCTAAATTAAAACAGCTTGACTATTCCCAGGGGTGATAGTAGCCTTTAAGAGTGTATTTGCTAATTACTCAAGTTGAAGACCACAAAGCTCAAGAGGGAGGACCATGTTGACATCCAAAATTTTATAATGAAAATTCTCAAAGTAAGTTTTATGAAGGTGTTGCTTATTTAGAACTACCTGCTCATTCCTTATGTCAATAATTTTTTAAAAACCTCTTGCCGAATTTGCTAAACGTTTTGCTTTGGATTGCAGATATATATGAAGGGAATCTTTATAAAATCTTGATGTGATTTTAAACTGTTCAAATTTGAAAAACAGAAAAATCTGAAGGAGAAAAAAACTTCTATCATTCAAGTATATATGTTGGAGCTACTATAGATCTCTGTAGGCTGAGGACAATTTAAGCAACAAGTAAGTTGCATAAATGAATTCTGCAGTGGTTCTCAAACTTTAGCCTGCAACAGAATCCCCTGGAGGGCTGTTAAAGCGCAGATTGCAGCCCCATCCCCAGAGTTTCTGATTTAGTAGGTCTAGGATGGGGCCTGAGAATTTGCATTTCCAGCAAGTTTTCAGATGTTGCTGATGCTTCTGGTCTGGGGATCACACTGTGAGAACTATCGGCCTAGCGTGTTACTAAAGGCTTCACAGTTTTGAAATGGAAATTTTGCAAAGCAGCTTATAAAAAGAGAGTCAATCATCAGTGTGTAGCCAGAAGATAGTTCAGGTAAGTGTCATGCAGAGATGATCACTCACATGCATTACCTAATGGATTTGGTGTCAGGCCGCATGTCCCCTTTATCGGACCTATCAGTGAGGAACAAGGGACTTGACAGATGGATGTTTTAATTTTTTTTCCATTTGAATTCCACCCTAGAGTCTAGCACAGAGGAAAAGAGCCAATTTAGGCAAAGAATGGAAAGCATGAAAGAAGAGAAGGAGAAGCAGAATGCCTGGAGAATCAAAAAATTCCTTGTCTCATTAGAATACTACTTTCAAATTGCACTGAAGCCATGATAAAACAATTGAAAGGCAGCAGCATAAAGGAAAGAATGGGTGCCTGGTGTTGCATGGTCACCACCTCCCTGCTTTCTTCATTTCTTTTAGATCTGGACATACGGGCTAATTCATGCTCCCTAGAAAAATTTCCAAGCAGTCTGAAGGATTAAAGGGACCAAGAATCCCATAATTTTTATACCCATATTAGTTTTTTATTGAGGTGTAATTGACATAAGTTTCAGGAGTACAGCATAATGATTCGATATTTGTATATATTGCGAACTGATCACCACAGTAAGTCTATTTAACATCTGTCACCATACAGTTACAAAATATTTTTTCAATTTCAAATATGCAATACAGTATTATTAACTATATTCACCATCTGCACATTACATCTCCATGTCTTATTTATTTTATAACTGGAAGTTGGTACCTTTAGACTTCCTTCACCCATTTCCCCCACCCTCTCCCCTCCTCCCCACCTCTGGCAACCACCAATCTCTACTCTGTATCTATGAGCTTGTTTGTTTGTCTTGCGGTCATAAAGTATTTGTCTTTCTCTGTCTCACTTATTTCATTTAGCCTAATACCCTCAGGGTCCATCCATGTTGTCACAAATGGCAAGATTGTATTCGTTCCTCTGGCTGACTAATATTCCATTGTGTATATATATATACAAATTTTCTTTATTGATTCTTCCAACAATGGACACTTAGGTTGTTTTCATATCTTGGCTATTGTAAATAATGCTGCTGTGAACATGGAGGTGCATATATATTTTCTAGTTAGTGTTTTCAGTTTCTTCAGATAAATACCCAGAAGTGGAATTGCTGGGTCATACGCTAGTCCTATTTTTAATTTTTTGAGGACCCTCCATACTGTTTTCCATAGTGGCTGCACCAACTTACATTCCCAGCAACAGGGCACAAGGATTCCCTTTCTTATACATCCTTGCCAACACTTATCTCTTGTTTTTTGATAATAGCCATTCTAACAGGTGTGCAGTGATATCTCCTTGTAGTTTTGACTTGCCTTTCCGTGATGATTAGTGATGCTGAGCACCTTTTCATGTACCAGTTGGTCATTTGTATATCTTCTTTGGAAAAATGTCTATTCAGTTCTGCCCATTTTTTTGATTGAGTTGTTTGTAGTTTTGCTAGTGAGTTATATGAGTTTTTTATATATTTTGGATATTAACCCCTTATCACATATGGTTTGCAAATATTTTCTCCCATTCAGTAGGTTGCCTTTGCTGTGTAGAAGCTTTTTAGTTGGATGTAGTCCCCCTTGTTTATTTGTTTCTTGTGTTGCCTTTGCTTTTGGAGTCAGAGCCAAAAAATCACCACCAAGACCAATGTCAAGGAGCTTGCCATCTGTTTTCTTCTAGGACCTTTATGGTCTTACATTCAAGTCTTTAATCCATTTTGAGTTAATTGTTGTGTGTGGTATAAGATAACGATCTACTTTCATTCTTTTGCATGTGTCTGTCCAGTTTTCCCAACACCATCTTTGAAGAGACTGTCCTTTCCCCATTGTATATTCTTGGCTCCTTTGTCATAAATTAATTGACCATATATGTATGAGTTGATTTCTGGGCTCCCTATTCCATTCCATTGATCTATGCGTTCGTTTTTATGCTAATATCATACTGTTTTGATTACTATAGCTTTGTAATATAGTTTGAAATCAGGGAGTGTGATGCCTTTAGCTTTGTTCTTCTTTCTCAAGATTTCTTTGGCTATTTGGGATGTTTTGTCATTCTGTACAAATTTTAGGATTGTTCTATTTCTGTAAAAAAAAAAAAATACCACTGAAATTTTGATAGGG